GTTAGCATCATGAGGATGTAAACAAGACTTGACAATTCCCAGCTGACCAAAGTACGGTTGATGTGGCACAGAGTACAGTGAACCCCTCATGCCTAGGTGGGAGGTATGAGCACCTTCTGAAGAGCTGGGGCATTGAAGGGATGCAGTGGGCACTGCAGCTGCCTTTAGGATTGTTGGACCTCCGTGGTGGATGCTGTGGGGGAGGTGATCACCCAGCCCCTCAGACTGGCAGCTGCACATTGCTGAAACCCAGTTTTCAAATAGGCCTTTTATCCTTGGTACTTGCTACATAATGGTGCAGAGCATTAGTCAGCATTAGTGAGCTGAACCTCGCCATGGTTTACTGCCTGGTTGTAAATTGTAATTGGCTGACTAACCTTCTCTGATGTTAAGTGCCTTAAAAGGTTGTTTTTCCTTTATTTTAGTTTAGGTTTAGTTTCTGGCTTTATGTGTTCTTTCTGTTTATTCTGATATTAGAATGTAATTAGAAATTAAAAAGAACAAAGCAAACCTCCAGCCCTACTGATGTACATGAACATGAATCATCATCTCTTGAAAGTGTGTTTAATCCAGAGCTCTGCAACCTGATATACATCCCCTTCATTTGGTAAATATTTAAAATAGCTGCAGACATTTTTTCACATTCTTGAGCAAAGACCGCATCACCACGTGTTCAGCCTTGTTTCTGAGTACTGGTGTTGTGAAGCTGAGGTGTGTTAAATGTTAAATGTTTTATCTTCTTTTGTAATTCCTAGTATCTATTGTACTATTATGAAAACAGATACAAAGAAAGAGAGAAAAGCCTACCAATTTATTTCTCTTTTAATCATCAAAATGAGCATTAGAAAGAAAATGTAAGCAACTTTAAATAGTGCCGAAGGCTGTAGTCTTTGAGAACAGTTGAATTGGGAGGTTTTATATAATGAACAGAGTTGATGATGCTTGTAATAAAGTGGATTAGCTGCTAGAAATTCTGTTACACCATTTATCTTTACTTAGCTAATCTTCCATGTTTGCAATTTTGGTCATATATGCTTGGGGGTACCACAATAGATTGTGGCTGTCCAAAAAGAGGGCACATTTTGGTTGGCCAAAATGCTGACACTTCCCAGTGTAATTTCCAAAGGAGACAAGAGAAAAAATTTCATACCTTTTCCTCTGGATCACATAGTATTGCCCCCTTAGCAATTATTAGTTCCCGCCCTCAAGTAGTAATACTGACTTCTTTCTCTTTTGATAGCAACTCTTTTTCTTTGATGCATCTTTCCATCTTGGCCTTCTGCTAGGTATTCCTTACAGCTTACACAGAGTTACCTCTCATGTGAATAAAGCAAATTCTGAGCACAGTGCTTCTTCTTCCAAATCATGTTAGGCTAAGCATATCCTGTTCTATGGGTTCTGTTTACGTGATTATTGGGGCCCCATGTCTGATGGTGGCAGCAGTGCGTTGGGCGATGCTGATCTGCGAGGGCTGTTCCTGTCAGGTGGAATGTGCTGAGGTTGTTCAGAGGCTCTCTGGGGAGAGCGAGGCCTGCAGGCAGCTCCCCAGGATGTCTGTGCATGGCAGACTTTTCCTAGAAGCCTCTTGGCCGGGTCAGGACCGTGGCACATCCCTCTTTCCCTGCCTCCAGCAACAGAAGGGCTCGTTGGCATTGAGGGACTGGGACCTCCACTGTGGAATTCAAGATTTTCTGCTTTAAGAGGACATTGACCAATGCCTTGGTCTTACCCTGGCATATTGGCTTATTTTGAGAAATGTTCTATATCCCTTTTTCTTCACATATTTGAGGTGTCTGTTCAATGAATTCCCCACCGGCTTGAAATGTCCTCCCAAACAGGGACACTAATTCTAATTGTTGAACAATCTTTAAATTATTTCCTAGTAAAATAGTGTACATTTTTATTTGGAATAAAACTTGAGGTTGAATACACGTGTAGAATTTTTAAGGAGCACAGTTGTTCCTCTACTACCATGAATAGTGCTTTGATTCAAACTTGAGTAGTCTAGAATGGTGTTGATACTTTTTTAAGGATCAAAGCTTTACTTTAAAAATAATGTCAAATTCAGTTGATTATGTTTGAAAGAAGAACAGTCTTTGCAAGTAAGGGACTTGAAAAGCCTGGAATCAGTTTCCTGCTATTCTCCAACACATTTTGTATCTCCCTGGGGAGGCAATTTAGGCTTTCAGTTATCAAATCATCATCTCCAAAATGGGGATAATAAAGACATTCTTAGTGCCTGGGAATGTTGAGATGACAGATCAACTGATGGATCGTTTATGGGTTCCAAGAGCCCTTACGTGCCCGTGTAGCTATAAACCTTAACCTTTCCCAAAATGCAGCTACCCACTGGGCCTCCAGTGAAGATTCAGTGCTTTATATACTTACTAAAGTGTGGGGGTTTTTTGTGTAAGAAATTTTATTGGCAGGGTGGGTGTATGTACGTGTTCATTCACTCTGATGTTGTCCCAAAGCAGTTGCAAAATGATTTGATCCACTTGCTGAGAGAAGTGTTGTGTGCAAGGTTTAGGCCACTTTCAGGGACACTTCAGCCAGTTAGCATTACCCCCTAATTCAGGGTAGAGGGCTGAAAGAGGAATGCCATTTTGCCAACTCTGACTATCAGGTTGGTATTACAAATCTCATTTCAAATGCAGTTTGCAGTGCTGTGGTGCTGGATCAGTAACAACTGTGAAGCATCATGAACTACATAAATTCCTGTGATTTTCAGCAAAGGTTTTTTATTTTCCTCTCTTTCAAACTGTCAGGTGGTGTTGTCCTGCTTAATACTGTGTTAATCATGGGTACTTCTTCCTGACCCTTTTTGCTCAAAAAAGCCCCATGTCAGCTAAAAGGTATTTGTGGAGTGCAGCATCTGCACCACAAATACAGGTGCAAGTACATGAGCCTGGAATTACCGTAGCTCAAGAAACATGCCTTCATGTCTATAACCAGTATAGCTGCACTCTTTCGAATCTTCCCATGTAAATCAACCTTTGATTTGTGATATCTCTCGGGATATTTGACCACTTCTTGGGATTTCTGCATGTCCCATGTTTATCTGACTATGAAGGATGTTACTTGGAATCATAAGGAATTTGTGACAAGTGGTAGGATATTTGGATCTATTGCTTGTAGTCACTAACAGAAATTTGTCCTGCTGCTGGGTTTTTTCCCTCTGTTAGCCAGAGGGAGAATCATAACCTTAACATTATTTAATTGGAGGCCTTTTGAGTTAATTAATTTAACTCTTCACTGCCTTTGATCGCATGGTTTTATGAGTATTTTTAATTGATCTTATTTGTATGGAAATGCAATCTAACATTAATTTAACAAGATGGATTCAAATCAGTGGTCAACCCAGCTGTTCAATCAAGGATATTGCTCAGTGCTATTTATTGGGTTTAATTTGAAGATCATGGCCACCCCAGAAACAAAGAAGGGAAAGCAGCTACTGGTGCTGAAATCCTGTAATTGTAGGCAGTTTCACTGATGGATACTCTTAGCTTGGAATTGTACCGGCCACAGCAAATAAGTATGGCTTTCTTTCCTTTCCACTGAGTTTTACAAATACAAATAGAAATATGGAAAGGGAAAGGGGAGCACTTAACCTGTGAATTTCAGTCCAGTTGGATTTAAGCAAACCACCCATTCACGCTTAGATTAATGGCTTGCCAGCAGACTCTATCAGTTGTGGACTGTATTGTATTAATTTGCAACTGCAAGAGTTAACGCTAGTAATTGCTTTTCCTCTATAGAGAGCGTCTCTAGTAGATTGTTTTTGCATGGCAATCTGTGATTGATAGATCAGGGAAAACAGGACCAAAGAAGGTTACTGCCCCCCAACAACTTCCCTCTTCAAATTAAAATAATTCGCAATTTGCAGGATGCCTTGTCACACGTGCTTCAGGAATGAAGCAGTAAACACACCAGGCTGCATTCCCTTAAAGCAGTGAACCTCTTACTGCCTTTCTTTCACCAAACCAAACAAGTCGTGTTGTTGGGAGTCCATTGAAAACAAGTGTGCTGGTGAAACAGTCCCCAGACCCCTTCAGCAAACTTCCTGTACGGTCAGGCAGCGGACCTGATGAAAGAGCCTGTTTGTGAACCTTTGGATTCCTTCCATTGATTTGTAAATCCACTTTATTAAAGTACTGCCGAAGCTAGTGAAATGAGCAGCCGAGGGCTCCCGTCAAGTTCCTAACAAATATCTGATGCAGCTTGGATCACTGGCACTGGCACATGCTTTTGAAATTGTTTTTTTCTGCTGTGTTGGATCGTTTCGAGACTGGGGGAGTAGAGACGTAGGAGGAAAAACGCAGTCTCCACCAGCCACACATTACATGGCTGCTTTATTTTTCAATGCTGCTAAAACTCCTCTTATTTAATATCGATCATACCAAGGAGCCAGCAAAGTACAGTGTTAATTGGGTCCACTGGAATTCTTGTCCCCTGGGAGAGAGAGAGCTTCCTAGGCAGGGAGGGCGGAGGGAAGGAGGGAGGGAGGGAGAGGAGGAGGGAAGCAGGCAGGGAGGAGGGGACCCACTGTGCGCAGCATAAAATGTAAGTGCACTAGACATCAAGGCTTCTGCTTGCATCGCTGGGAAGCAGTCGCGGCGGTTCCCACCCGCCCCCTTTTCAGAAATTAGCCAACTATTTTTATTTTTATTTTTTTTTTTAGTCTGGTAGTTGTTCTTGAATTAACAGCTCCTTTCTTTTATTTTTCTTTCCTTTTTCTTCCCCCCCCTTCCCCCCCATTTGCGGAGTGCTTTTTTTTTATTTTAATTGTTTTCCTCTCCTTTCTGCAAAGCTGCAAAAGCTGTGCTTTGAAAACTGCTGCCCCAGAGTGCAGTTGCTTAGCTGTCCTGTCAGCATTGTTCTAATGCTCATTCCATATGTATGTCACATAGGAGCAGTACCCTCCTCCTCTCCCTTCCCCCCATCCATGCATTCGATTTTTTCCCCCCTAAAGACTGATTTTTATTTTTTTTATTTTTCTGAAGGAGCTTGCAAACAGGGAAATTCAAACTGAATGTTTCTGTGCTGTGGTTACTTATATAGACAAGACCACATTTCTCTTAGAAAAAGTGTTTGCTCTGTTCCTTCTTTTCCCCTACTCTTTCTTCCCTATAAGCACAAAGGCTTTAAAAACTAAGATCTATAGTTCCTTTTGCCTTTTTTTTTTTTTTGCGTTACCGTGACAGCATGTATCTCTGTTGCTGAAGAATGAAGCAGGCAGGCTGGAGGATTTTTATGTTCAATGCTTTTGGGACCACTAAAAAGAAGTCTGCAGAGAAATACGTACAGCAGCTGTGCCAACTGAGTTTCTCATGACTGTTATCTGTCACTTACTCTGACTAAAAGGTAAGGGGTTCTTTAGTTTTTTTGTAAAAGTCTTTGTGCATTGTTTGTGTGGTGTCATTTGACATGTGCAACTCTGTGGCTCGGGAGGGAGGTGGGTTGTGAAGATTTTTGTGTTAAGGTATTATAGGTCACCCAGGCAAAGCTCTTTGCATGCAGAGGAGAAAAAAAAGATCTTGTTTCTTGGAATTGTTTCCCTTTTCATCTCAAATGGTTCCTCCAGCTTAGCTCGCTACTGATTGAGACATAGAGCTGGGGCATTATTGCTGCTGCTTATCTTTCCTGGTGCTCTTTCTCTACCTAGGGAGCACACGCAGCCAGTTGTGTGTGTGTTCACAGATGTGGGGTAAGGCATAGCCCCGCTGCATGGCAAGTACTTGGCAACATGCACATTCTCCCCTCTTACTGTAACTAAATGTCTTCAAGCACCCTTCGAAAGGTAAGAATGCCTTAGTTCAGCACACTGCAGCTTATGCCTGTTTAAAATTATTACTTGGATTACAGTGCATACTGTGGAAAGTTATTAGTTTCCACAGAGACCAGTGTAATTGGGGGGGTATGTGTGCAGCGGTTCTGTTTTGTGCTTTCCATACACTGCTTGTGGGGGAGTATGAAATGTTATTTTCTTCTTAATTCTTGGGAAGGGTGAAGTTTACACTGTCTGTTAGGCATAGCAAATGAAGTTATAGCTGAAATCGATTAAAGCTGTGGAGAAGCATAGCCTTACAAGGCTCTTCAACTTAGCCTGAGAGTCAGAAGATACTTTATTAAAATATTTTTTTGCTCTGCATTGTAACATGCAGAATTGTAAGCAGGAAGGCATCTTCACCGAGCAGAACTAGCAGTGACTGATGCCTGGACGGGATCATTTTGTCATTTATGCGTTAGAAACCTGTTTAATCCACAGCCTTGGTGCGCACTGCTTGTTTTGTGCGTGTGCTGGATACATCTTTCAACAGCCCCTTAGTTCAAGAGGGCATTGTTTTATAAAATGTGTTAATGTGTTTCTGCTTTGCAGGCAGGCAGAAGTGCTCTCTGTAACTGTCCCCTTAGCTGTGACCCAGCTGCTTTGGCATTTTGGAAAGGGCTGATTTTAGGGCTTGCTTTGCTTTCCTTCACAGTTATTTGTGTTCTTACTTCTTAACTGTTAGTTCTCTGCATGGAAAAATGCGTCTTAAGGGTACTCATTTCTCATGCTTTGCAGTTGTAAGTGGCTGAGACAGTTGAGCAACCTGATTTAGTGGTGTCGCTTTACCAGGAATGTTGCATTGCTTATTTGAATAACCAGGAATGCCACCAAATATGTAATTACTTTAAAAACAGTCTAAAAATGCAAAGTGTGAAGGAAGAGAGAAAAGTCCTGTCTGCAGGCATTTCTTTCTTTCTGTACTGTGGCTGTTTATAATGTTTTTTTAAAATCAGGTATTTCTTAACACACGCTCTGTGACTCTTATTTTCCCATTATTGTTGCTTTATATCAGCACCGAGAAAATAGTCATTTAGATAACAGGTTTTCACTGATATCCTTTTTATAATATAGAAAGCAGTATAAGAAGCAGTAATAAGTTAAATTGGCATCTGCTAATTATGCTGAATACAGATTGCAAGCTCTTCAAGTCGTCCCTTGCCTTAATGCTGTTAGCATATTTTAGCACTGGCAACCAAAGGAAAGAAACTGGAATGTTCCTGCTTGGGGTTTTTTTAGGAAGAAAAAAAAAGAAAAGAAAAAAAAGACTTTTGAAGAAGTGTGAAGTTTTGGGGGTTTTTAATGTTTCTGTGCTGGTTATGAACAGAACATCATACACAGTTCGGTAGCACTGGGCAGAATTGTGATCCCTGAGAAACTGACCTGCTTGGTGATCACTAAGACCTTGGAGACAAAACCATTGTTGTCCGATAAAAAACTTGGTCTCAGGGCAGGAAGAGTTTGAGAGTTGTCACCAAATACGCGATTCTTTCGGGCGTCTAAGAGAGACAATTAAAAACACAACTCTTCAGAACTTAGTTGTGGTTCTCCGTACTATGCGGCAGTTTTGCTCACCTCATCTCAAGGCCGAAAGTGTTCCGTGGAAGCAGGAGAGCTGCGCTTGTGCCCAGATGCGCTCGGCCGGGCTCTGCGCCCCGCCGTGCTGGGGCGCGGCGCGCAGCTTGGGNTTATCCCCGTGCCCGGCACGCCGGGAGAGCGCCGGGAGCCGGCTGTCCCCGGGAGCCGGCTGTCCCCGGGAGCCGGCTGTCCCCGGGAGCCGGCTGTCCCCGGGAGCCTTTGCCGAGCGCGGGTGGACAGGGCCGGCAGCCCCTGGGGCCGCGAACATGTCCCGGTGCTCGCCGCGGCTGATCCAGGTGCTCTTGTCAAGCAGCGTCCCGCTGCTGCTGTGCTGGGTGGTGTCCTGAGCCAGCTTTTTCCTGAGCAGCAACGTGCCCACGCTTGGGCTGCGCTGGAGCTTCTGTCTGTGGGCCTGCCCCTGTGCACAGCCTCCCTCTGGCCTGGCTCCAGCCTGCAGAACGGGAGACCGGGGGGAGAGCTCATTGTGGTCTTCAGCATCCTCGTGGGAGGAAACAGACGGGCAGGCACTGATCTCTCTGTGGCCAGTGACAGGAGATGAGGGAATGGCATGAAGCTGTGTTGGGCAGAGTTTTTAGGCTGGATATCAGGAAAAGGCTCTTCACCCAGAGTGTGGCTGGGCACTGGAGCAGGCTCCCCAGGGCAGTGGTCACAGCACCAGCCTGACAGAGCTGAGGGAGCCTTTGGACAGCAATCTCAGACATGTGGTCACAATCCTGGGGGGCTGTCCTGTGCAGGGCCAGGAGCGGGACTTCAGTGATCCCTCTGGGTCCCTTCCAACTCAGGATACCCTGTGGTTTTTACCAGGAATGATGATTTGGCACATAGGTACACCATAACTTGTTTCATCCTTCCGTAGAGAACCGTGTCTTGAACTTCAAGGATTGCTCTGTGTGATGGGGATGGGCACAGTGGGAAGTGTCCTGTGCTGGGAGATGCAGGGCTGAGCTCCCAGGCGGTTCTCCAGGTCAAGGTGAGGTGCCCTAGGGATGGATGGGCAGGGCAGGAACTGCATGCTTCGGATGTTGGTTTGCTGTGGTAGTGCTGTAAGTCTTGTCTTCATATGAGCCTAATTTTGCTAAAAGTGGTGTCAGAGTCTTTTTAAGAAGACATTATGATTTGGCTTCAGTTTTGGGTTTTCTTACTCTCTTATGTGCATGTGTAAAATGCAAAGCATATTTAATGAGTGAATACTTCAAATGCTTCCAAATTAATTAAAAACAGTTCCACATCTGGAATAAATCCAGTTCCTTTCATGGATGGCTTCAGCTTCACGGTTTTTCCCTCTTGTGAGAAGCCCTGTGAATATTCTTGTGTGGATGCTTGTGAAAACTGGAGTAGCAGGATCCGGGATTATTTTACGAAGGAGAGAGATCTGGAACCCACAGAGATCAATAGAATCTTGGCTTTTATTCCAGCAGACTTTTGATAAGACCTAATAATATAATAATATTATATGATTATATGATAGGCCTGTGCACGGTCAGGTTTTCTCAGGGTACCTTGTCTTGAAGGTATCTGCAAATCTTAATTAGATTTTGTTGTTTCTTGTGGTTCAACTGCTGTTTAAATTCAGAGAGATTTCAGAGGGGCTTGAATTAGGCACCACAAACAAAAAAATAGTGTTTCTGTAATAAGCTTTTTTTCTTCTGCCTTCTCTGTTCACAGAATAAATAAAATGATCAGATTTTTCTCTGTGAGAATGTTGTGATTTAAACTGACACAACTAAGTGACCTAAAGATAGGCTTATTGCATAGATAAAAAATGCAGGGTTGGGCTGTTTGAACTGCATTAGCATCAGAATAAGAAATGGCAGGGCAAGTTGGCTGAGGTGCCCATGCAGAACTGGGGAGTGTTGTTCTTTGGAAAGCTTCTGAGCTGGGAATTCTTTTCTGAGCCATAAATAAATAAATCTGTGTCCTGAACAGTTAATGAATACAGGAGTCTGGGCAACTTTAAGCTGTTTGGGATATTTAAGAAATCCACATGGTGCTTTTGTTAGTATTGTTGTTTCTCTATTTTCCCCTAATATTTCCATTTTAAGGTTTTTGTTGAGTTGGGTTTTTGTTTAGTTTTTTTTTTTTTTCGCTTTCTTTAGCTATGCTGAAAGATGCTCTTGATGGTGTTTTTACCAGGACTTTTTTCTGTAACTCCCACAGCAGTTTTGTTGTATGTTGCACCAAAATACTGTCCCTGAAACTTTTGATTCTTGAGCTACAGAGAACATTGCAGAGTTTTGTGCTTCAAGTAATTTGTCTTTGGAGTTGTCCTCTGGCTTCTTTATCTGGATTCTCTGGGGATGCCGAAAAAATTATCTTGCAGGGACCCTACTGTGATTGCATATACAGCTTTTCCAGGGGAACTCAGTGTCAGCAGACCAAAACTAATTAAACCTCAAGACATTCATGGCAGACAGATAAGCATAAACCATAATAAATAAACTAAAACAGGAAGAGGTGAAGAGCCCGTGTTTCCCATGGTAGTGAGCAGTGACATTCCCACTGAACCAAGCTATGGGTGCCATGTACCTCTGAAACTGAGGGTGCTGTTTACTTGGCTGGGAGAGCTACCCTTTTGGCAGTGGATTTTGTGGAGGTAGTTAATATTGACAGTTTTGCCTCTAGCACCTGTCTATTAAAGATTGAATTCATTTAAATCACCTTAGCATTTCCTTGCTGCTGAGTTCTTGGTGAGTCTGCAGTATCTTCTTGGGAAGTTACTGAAATGCCTTCATGCCCTTCCAGGCTTTTTTTTTTACTTCTGAATTTTCTGAATTAACCAACCTTGACTGGAATTGTAACTTTCTGCATTAAGTAGAAAGTGCCTGACAGAGGTGCACGAGCTCTCGCAGCACTGACAGGTTGTGACCATTTTTTCATTGATGTAGTGTTTCTAGGTATTCCATCTTTGACGTGGCTTTTGAGAGAGGTGTGACACTTC